GAACTAATGAGGAAAGATGTCACCAAAGCAAAAGGTTGTCGTGGCTTGATAGACCCGCTGTGCACAAATGCTGAAATCACTTTTGCAAAGTAAGGTTTTAATGAAGCAGATTTATTTCCAAGGCAGGATGTCTTGATGCCATGGCAGTTCCGTCTCTTCTCTTTCCTTGTCGTTTAGCCCTTCATAGCTCTCTGGTGGTGGGAGAGCTTCGACTTCGTATATGAAGCCCTCCCCCTTACCTTTCTTATCCTTATCTGTGTCTCATTACATCTTTTGAAAACAAATCTTGCTTTTTGTTGTGAGGTTTATTTTGTTGTTGTTGTTGGGGTTTTTTGTCATTTACACATTAGACTTAATAGTCTTATTTTCCTTTATTTGTCATTTCAATTACAGAAAAAGCGATCTTGCATAGTGGGTACTAGCATAGACCGTAGAGCCAGGTGGCCTTGGCGAAGTTACCTAACCTTTCTGAGCCTCAGTTTCATCATCTGTGAAATGGGAGTTGTTAATGGGATTTTGGTTAGATACCTGTTAGAGCACATAGAATAGTACCTGGCACATGGTACGAACCATACTGGGGTTTTTTGCTATCATTACTGCTTTTCTGTACTGCCTTATTCTAATACCTAATTTTTAGCTTTCAAGTATTGATTTATAAATAATAGTCATGGTTTATTATTATGCATTGTATCAAAAGTGTATAGAAATGATTTTCCATGAAGAGTTAATAGGTTTAGAGATAAATCACATTCATTTGCCACATTCTGGACATAATTCTAAAATATCAGAGCTAATGGAACCTCAATATCACACAGGCTCCTTCCTCATTTTCTAAGGGGGGAAGTAGGCTCTGTAAATGGAATGAGGGGCCTCAGCCCTCTGTTAACACTAACACTAAGACCAGGGTGTGGCTCCCAGGCCAATGAGCGTTCTCTATTATAACTTGAATAATGTAGTGTCCCTCCTAAACAAAAGTGAGCCAATTCACACACTTTTCCCACAAAACAATGCAGTGAACATACTGTCCAAATGGGTTTGCTGAGTTCTTGGTCCACCTGCTGCTGCGAACTTACAAGCGCATCCCATCAGTAGGAACAATGGCTGACTTCTTGGTGACGAGGGCAGACCAGGCCAAGAGAAGGACTTTTGTTCCCTCCTTGTATTAGTTTCTTGTTGTCATAGCAACAAAGCCACAAGTTTATTTGCTTAACACACACAACCATGTATTGTCTTACAGTCCTGATGTTGCAGGGCTTTCTTCTTTCTGAAGGCTTCCACTCCCTTGCCTTAAAAACGCAAGCCAAACAGCTTGTAGGAGCCGCTGCCTTCTTTGGGTGGGGCTCCTTCCTCTCGTCGTTCCAACCTCTTGTTTTTGTCTTCTACTACTCTGACCTCCCGCCTCCCTCTTACGGGAACCTTGTGGTTGCATTTGGGCCACTTGGGTACTCTCTCCCCTCTCAAGGTCCGTAATCACATGCGCGAAGTCCCTTTTTCCATGTAAGGTAATGTTCACAGTTTCCAGGGATTTAGGATGTGGACATCTTTGAGGAAGGTGATGATTCATTCTACCACATTCCTCAAAGCATGAAAATAAGAGTCAAGTTTATTTATTTATTTATTAAATATATTTTATTGATTTCAGAGAGAAAGGGAGAGGGAGAGAGAGATAGAGACATCAATGATGAGAGAGAGTCCTCGATCGGCTGCTTCTTGCATGCCCCCCACTGGGGACCAGGCCTGCAACTTGGGCACGTACCCTTGACCAGAATCGAACCCGATACCCCTGAGTCCACAGGCCAACACTCTGTCCACTGAGCCAAACCGGCTAGCACGAGAGTCAAGTCTTTTAAATAAATCACATGCTGGGAATATTTAATACGGTGGTCTCCTCTCTCTGGGATCTAAGTGCTAAACATAGGAGGATCCAGGGACCAATGTGGGCTCAGGGGAGCTGGGACGAGTTTGTTTTTAAGATACTCCCATGTACACACTTTTCTTAGGCATGTAAATCGAAACGAGTGCTCTGAATACAGAGTCCCTTCTGGCTTTTGGAAGAAAAAGTTTAATTAAAGCATTCGCCTCTGTCATATTTGCAAAGTCCCCAGCCTATAGCTCATCCGAGCACAGAACTGTGAGTTGGCTCGTCATACTCATCTGCGAAACTTGTGCAGTGTCGCTCTCCTTGTGGGCACAGCCCTACTCCAGGGGCTCGTGGTCTTGGGGCCCCGTGTGAGGGGGAGGCGCAGATGAAGAGCGAAAGCCAGACCTCCCGGGCAGAGGGAGTGCAGAATTGGCAGTGCCAGTGCCGGAGGAGGAGGCGGCCCGGGAAAGGCACTGGCCCCGTGCAGACTCCCAGGGCCTCTAATGGGGGAGCTGGACTAACAGAGGCAGAGACCTGCCCTGAGATGGTTCATCGGCTTGAAACCCGGGGGAGGTTTGGACATGTTTTTGCAGGGGCCGTTTCTGTGTGGGTGGCTGCGCATTATCCTTCGGCCGGAAGAGGTCGAGCGAGCTTAGAAGCTGTGGCTCAGGACCCCGCAGTTCACAGGCGCCTCCATGTCCCCTGTCAGTGTGTCCGAGACCAGCACGGCTCGGTCACCCTCCATGTCTTTCTATTTAAAAAGCAGACCTGAGACTCCTCGCCTGTGGCTGATTCTGGTTTTGCTGGTTAAGTGCTGATCAGCGTGGGACAGAACAGCTTCCCACATCGCTTCTCCCCTCCTCTGCCGCCGTCTGTTGAGTCGACGTGAATGAGCCCTCGTGGGCACCACCAGTGTTTGTGCGTGTAGATGTCAACTTATCTAGAAGGAAGCTCTGTTTGGGATTCAGCGTGTTCTGTCCAAATCATTAATGACAGAAATAGGAAGTATTTTCAAAAGCTTGGCATTTCAAAATGTACTCATATCATCTCGCTACTCCCAACAGATTTTGAAAAGGTAATAATAAGGACACAGTGACTGGAGCTGGAGCTGGGAATAGCGCACGCACATTAATATTCCCAGAACATTAAACACTTGAAAATAACTTGGGGGGCGGGGGCGATGTGACTCCTTTAGAGATTTGCATATAATTAATACAAAGTAATTCTTGTATTATTTTGAGTTGGTTATAATGAATACAAATAGTTGCTGGATTATTTAGCTTCACGATGTTGGCTTCTCTTAGAGGTGTTAGGACGGAGTATAAAGAAGTTGTTTTGCTGGCATTTGAGCAGAGGACAGGGAGACACTACCGCGCTCTCCCAGACGCCTGCGCTGGCTCTGCTGGCACTGCCACTGTTGGGAGGGAATGTTTTACGTCCTATTTCATTTCTGATCTCACAGCACCTTCCCTGGCAGCCAGTGACTTCAGGGTGCCCCGTCAGGGCGTGGGAGAGAATGCCGTCCCAGCCTTGCCCTCCTTCCTCGAAGACGGAATGAAGGTCAGGTTCACTGTTGCTCCCCAGCTGTTCAGTCTGAATCAAGCAGCAGAGACATGGGGACCTAGGGTCTGCCTCCGCCTTCTGAAGAGCCACTGATCCCATAGCTGGACCTCACCAGTACTCGGCCCCCTGCCCTGTACCTTGGACCATCTACAACTTGTCACCAAGTCTTTGTGGGCCCCCCCAAAGGAAAACATCTCTCTCTTAAAGACTATGTTGTACAACCCTCCTACCCTGTCGGCAGCTCTCGAAAGCCAGGGGCCAGGAGTCGTTCTAGCCCATGAGTGATGCGGTCTCACTCGGCATGGAAGGCCTGTGGCCGTAATAACCATGTCGCAATAATTGCTTTTCTGTACCGCGTGCCACTGATGGTATGAGCTGTCGGACCTTGCCGCTTGATAAACTGGGCAATAATAATTCATTCCGCTTTCCGTCAGCTGTACTTATCTTTAGCTTTGTGGCTTGCACCAGTTGTTGCCACAAGGAGTAAACTGTGTAGTTTGCTTTTTCTCTCATCAGTTGCATTTGTAGTCTAAGAACTGCTTTGCCCTCATCTGGGGAAACCAGATCGATTTACTGGAAACAACGGGGGGTGTGTTGTTTGAATGCCTCTGCCTGGCAGAGTTTCCATGTAATCGATCTTCGTGAGAACTGGGATGAATGGATGGCAGGTGCATTAGCGTCCAGTCTATAGTACATGTCAGACTTCCTTACCATGCTTCCCCCCCCCCCATCTGCTTGTGTGAAATATTTATATTTGAAGATCACTTTTTCTAGAACATTCAGACTATCTGTGCCTAAGGCCTATTCACCATTTAGGCTTATAACATTGTTCATGTTGTATTTTCGCCACATTTACATCTGAATCAGTTTTGTGAATTCCAAGTTTAATTCTATGTAACAGTAACAATAGAAATGTCATAGTTAAATATAAGCAATAACACACCCCAAGATGTGGAAATGAATTTGTGATAGACTACGTCAAGTTATTTCCTCTGAACATACATTCTTCCCCAATACAAAGTTAACAAAGACCAACCCTTCATATGAGGTTTGCAGGGACAAAATGGTAGAAGCTGGCCATTTCTCAATGTCCAATTCTTTAAATCACAGTTAATCTTGCATTTTAATTTTTTTGGAATACCGCAGAAAAAACCATGCTTTATCCTCTTGAAATGACCCAGTTACTTGTAGAGCCCGGGGTGGTTCCTGATCCTCAGCATGAAGAGCTGGACCTTCGACAGAACCTGGGACAGTCTGTTCCCACGCCGCACGCTTCCCTCCATGGCGGGGAGTCCTCCGCCCCAGCGAAGCCTGACCCTGTAGGATGTGTTTTCCAAAGTGTAGTTTCGCTTAACACGTACCTTTCTAGTCCCCATCCCAGGCCCTTGAGCAGCCTCTCTGGGGTGAGCCCTGGAAACCTGCAGTTTACGAAACTGTCCCACGTGTACCTGGTACACAGCAGAGTTGAAGAGCTGCTTAGCATTTATGCATCGTGGAGACCTGCTCTGTTGGGTTTATGGGACACATTATTTTTATGTGATGGTGACTATGTTGCCCTTCTCCTTTTCACCCTCAGGACTGGTCCATCATGTCTGTAACCTGTTCACCGAAACGGCCACACTGTGCTTGGACGCGGACAACAAAAACAACAATGAGACGGCAGCCGCGCTGCTCTGCTCCCTGCTGGATGTGCTGCACGGCATGCTGACCTACACGTCCGGGGTCGTGCGGCTGGCCCTGCAGGTAGGGGCCTCGGCCCCGGTCTGGCACAGCCCTGCACCACGCCACACCCCCGTCAGTCTCGTCTTGCTAATCTGCCTCTAAAGTGTCTTTACTTTTCAGAAAGAACTTAGGTCCTGTAGAGAGAGACTACCAAATAAGCCATCTTTGGTGACCAAGGCCAAGAACAGATCATGTGATTACAAAGGAAAGGAAAGCGGGAGGGGCCTCAGCAGAGACTTGATGAGCTCTGATCGGGGAACCGTTCCCGGCTGAGACCAGTAGCCCTGCGGGCACCCGGGGCTGGCCAAGCAGGGTGCAGCCTTTCCTGCCCACGGGTGGGCCCAGCCGCCCCAGTGGGAAACAGCTTGCCAGGAGCAGTGGGTCGAGATTGTAGGCCCATCCATCCATTCATACACACACATGTTTATATACACATATACACACATCCATAACGCAACATGTAAACAAGCACTTGCTCTCCCTTATGACCAGTAACGTGGAACTGCAGGTGGATTTGAGACTTAGAAGTGTATTCAGTCCCTGTGCCCCAAACTGTACTGTGCTCTGCGAAGGAAGGGGACGTGGGTTTGTTAAGTACTCTCCAGGTTAGGTGCCTCCACGTGCCTGTTTCATGTACTGCTCTCTCTCTGAGTCAGCTGATACTTAGGTCGCATGAAAGCACACAGCTGATATGAATCCACTGTTACACTCCGAATCCTGGTAGAATTGCAAGAGGCGTATGTTGAGTGACAGCCTGTTGGCTTGAGTAGGTGCAGAAGCCAGCGGGGAGGCCAGACTGTTTTGATACCTCGCCAAGAGCCAGCATAGCAGAGCCAAGAATGAATCCCGCGAGCCTGGTTTAGGCTCTGTTACTCATCATTGTGATAACTGGTAACTTTTACCTCCAGCGAAGCTGCTCGAGTGTTTAGCTTATCTGGCGTGATTGATAAGTCATTCCAAGATCTCCTTGACAAACATGGTCGTTCGTGTTCACCGCACACTTGTAAAGCCAGTAGGTGGAAATGGCCTCGGAACTACTTAGTTGTTTTCTTTGCTCCTCTGGAATCTTTCTGAATGAACAGTAGAGCATGGTTCAGTACTATGGAATCCTGAATTAAGGTTTCTCTTAGCTTTTCCTCTCGTGTCTCTTCAGAGAATAGCTGTTCTTATTTCAGACCTACTTAGTTGTTTTCTTTGCTCATCTGGAATCTTTCTGAATGAACAGTAGAGCATTGTTCAGTACTTATGGAATCCTGAATTAAGGTTTCTCCTCTCATGTCTCTTCAGAGAATAGCTGTTCTTATTTCAGTGTCTCTCGGAGTTTTATGTAAATCTTCAGGATGTGGTTGCTAGTTATGTTCACAGATACGTTGATGATGTCAATCTGTAAAAGAAATGTTTTGTGGATTGTAAATATAAAAGGGATCAGGCCCAGCCAGTGTGGCTCAGTGGTTGAGTATCAACTCATGAACCAGGAGGTGGTTCAATTCCCGGTCAGGGCACATGCCCAGTTTGGGGCTTGATCCCCAAGTAGGAGAGCATGCAGAAGGCAGCCAGTCAGTGATTCTCTCTCATCATTGATGTTTCTCGCTCCCCTTCTCCCTTCCTCTCTCTAAAATCAATAAAAACATATTTTAAAAATGTTTCTTTAAGGAATCAGAAGTTCAGAAATTCCAGAGCAACAGAAATCTCTTATTAGAAGTGGCTATTAGGTTGATATTCAAGGTTGTTTAAAAGAAAACTCCTTAATAGAATTATATTCTAATTCTTTCTCTCTTTGCTAGTGTACCAGTAGATGACTGTTTTTAATTTTCTCATTTTCTCCAACACGACTGCATACTTTACTGCTGTTGTCTTTCTAAGTCCTCTGCTCTATCATCTGCCATTATTGCTTTTGGCTTCACGCCCGGCTTTGATCTGCAGGGCACCTGGCGTCAGTCTGAGAGAGGGGAGTCCCTGAGACTGAGTGAGGGGAAAGGGTTGGGAAGAGAAACAGAGTGTGCACCAAAGACACCGTCTCCTGGGACACTGAGCCATCTGTGCTGTCCGAGCCACCAGCCACCTCTCCCATCATACACACGCTCCACACCGGAGGGTCTCCCGCATGGTTCTCAACCTTCTGGCCCTTTACATACAGTTCCTCATGTTGTGACCCAACCATAAAATTATTTCCTTTGCTGTTTCATCACTGTCATGTTGCTGCTGTTATGAATCGTAATGTAAATATCTGATATGCAGGATGGTCATAGGCAACCCCTGTGAAAGGGTCGTTCGACCGCCAAAGGGGTCGCGACCCACAGGTGGAGAACCGCTGGTCTAACAGGACCGTCTCTGAAGTGGAGGAATCGAGGGATTGAGGACTGACAGTGTTTAAAATGACCTATGAAGCACTTTTCTTTTTCAGGGAGGAGAGGGACATGATGCAGGAATGTGTCCCAGGGAAGTAGGGAGTGGAGGGAGGCAGGTGTCAGAATCTCCTTTAGGAGTTCAGCCCCTACCCCCACCTGCGTTGTGATGCAGAATTGGTCCTGCCTTACATGAACCTCCTGCCAGCAAAGTACCGCCACCCTCGTCCTGCTGTGCCGGCTCCAGACCTGGGCGTCATCCTTGCCTTCTTTTTCTTGTTCCACATCTGACCTGTCACAAAATACATGGAGACTTTCACCTTACATACCTAACCAGTCCAGCCACTTCTTTCAAACCCTGCTGCTACCACCCAGCTCAGTGGACCGTCCTCTCTTGCCCAGAGTGTAACAACCGGGTGGGTCAAGACCCTTGGCTGGTTACGGTGAAGAGGCCGATGTTCTGTCTCCAGTCGCGTTTCAGAAGGTGGAAGTAACGGCCACGATTCAGAGAGGTCCCGACCCTGGGATAGTGCTGCCTCTCGTTCCCTGGAACGGAAATCTAGCATTGTTCCCCTTACGGTGCACGTGGATAAAAGGCAGGCGTCTGATTTTAAAATTCTTCTGAACCAAAGAACGCAGGCAGCTCACGTTCTGTCCATCGGCCTGAGGAGCAGAAGGAAACTTGGCATTTGGGAGGAGGGTCCTGGAGTCCAGGCTCATGCCCTCAGGTGGGGCAGCCTGCAGCCTGGTCCGGCAAAGGTCATCACCCAAAAGCAGTGTTCTTCCTTCCGAGTGAAATAAAAACACACAGAGGAAGTATTGAATGAAATACGTGTATTCTATAGCAAACAAAATTACTAATCAGTGCCTTTTCCAGGATGAAACTATGCCTGTCTGTGTTAGAAATCCCTGGAATTAGACAGTTCTGTAGAACTCCTAAAAGGAGGCACACTTAGAATGAAAGTCACTCGCTTCCCATCTCTGATTTTAATTTCAGTTGCAGCCTATACTTTCTAGACCTTCTCTGAAGACGTTGCATGCGGTATTCTGTTGGACACGTACTCTAGGTGTCCCTTGTGGGCGTGTGTGCCTACGGAGAAGGAAATACGGCAGGATGCATTAGGTGTGCATCGTCTTAACGTACAGAACATGCCTGGGCAGAGGCGCGGAGGACGTGGAGTCGTAGAGCCTTGCTCATCCTCCACCTTTGTCCCCACGACATGTGGGAGTTCACACGAACTGCTGTACTTCTCTGCGTGCCAGTTTCCTCACCTGAACAACGGGAACAGGAGCCCCTCCTTCAGGCTGGTGTCCCCTGCAGCCTGTGGACATCACTTCCCCAGGGACAGCCCTTGTTGGCGCTTCCTCTGTGGACCACCCGGTCTGCCTCTGTGGCCCGAGCTGGTGGCAGTGGCCCTGGTGCACCCATTGTCACGTGCGCACCTTCTGTTCAGGGGGCCGAGGGGGAATACCTCCGCAGCCGTGTTTATCTGCCCGGCCGGGGGGAGCTGTCTCCAGGGCCAAGCTGACTAATCTCCAAGACCCCCTCCTCTTCCCTTCTTCCCTCCTTCAAGGCGCAGAAGTCTGGCTCCGGGGGCGACACTCAGGCGGCGGAGGACCTGCTGCTGCTCAGCAAACCCCTGACAGACCTCGTCAGCCTGCTCATCCCGCTGGTAAGGGCTCACCTATTCCTGCGTCTGTCCAAACACTGCCGGGGCTGAAGCAATGCTATTTGAATTTCATGATGTCTGGAGTCTTCATGCTATTTTAATTCCTTTCAAAACTAGAGCCAGGAGAAATTTCAGAGGCTCATTTGGCTTGGGATGACTACATTTCTACTTTATTTAAAACCAGGTGGCTTAGATGTTTAAGGAAAGCATAATCTCAGATCCTTCTTAATGAATGTGAGGTTTAAAAAAAAATGCAGGAAATGAATTCTGGGAAGGGAAAACATTTTGTTATGGGTGTCAGTTCTCTTTCAAAACAGTTTTTGGGGTTGTGCTTGGCATGCAGGGCTCCCCAGAAACAAAGAAGGGGAGCATGTCCCTCAATTCCACAGAATTAGGATGAAATAAGTGGAATTAGATAAAAATAGGCGAGGCTACAGAAGACCATGGAATACAGGAAAAGAGCCCAACAGAACCTTGGAGTTTGGGCTAACTTAGAGGACCCACCACATAGACACATGGCCACTCGCCCCCTCCCCTCCACTGGCCAGAGCAGTCACAGGGCCAGCGGATGGTATTCCACAAATCCCCCTGAAAACCAGATTTGGGGATCCAAGGACCTAGGGGTGCAGGCGACCGAGGGAACGAATCACTTGTGGCCTCACCCTTCAGTTCTCCAAGGCTGCGAAGGTTTCCCTTTCCTGCCCTCTGGCTTGAAGGAAGGCGAGTGCAGTTCAGAAGACTAATTCTATGGGCTTAATTGCATTCATCAAATAAAGGTTTGGTTTAACCGAGAAAGAAAAAGGGGGGAACCAGTCAGTGCTGGCTTATCTACACTAATAAAAGACAAACATACAAATTGACCATACTTTTGCTATGCCTTAAGCCACGCCCACCAGCCAGTCAGAACGACTATATGCAAATTAACCCTACCAAGAAGGCGGCCAGCAGCCACAGAACTGGAGCGAGCAGGAGGCTTGCTTGCTCCAGTGATGGAGGAAGCCAAGCTTCCCCACCTGCCACGGCCAGCTCAGTTCCACTGAAAGCAACAAAGTTTTAATTATAGAAGCTAAACAAACCCCAGATACCTGTTTTCAGCCAGCCGTGGCCACGGAGCTGGAGTGAGCAGGAGTGGGTTGCCCCTGGCGATGGAGGAAGCCAAGCTTTCCGAGGGCCTCTGCTAAAGGTGACAAAGTTTCAATTATAGAAGGTAATCCACAGGCGTCTGCTAAAGGCGACAAAGTTTCAATTATAGAAGGTAAATAAATCCCAAAATAAAACAAGAAAAAGAAAAAAAGGAGAGGCTGGGAGCTTACATCGCTAGAGGGCTTGTCCAGCCTGAAAACGGCCCTCAGCCCCTCCCCCGGACTGGCCAGGCACCCCAGTGGGGAACCCCCACCCTAAAGGGGTTGTGGCCAGCCTGAAAACAGCCATCAGCCCCTCACCGAGGCTGGCCAAACCTCCATGGGGTGAGGGACCCCACTGGAGTGGACATCCTCCGAGGGTTCCCACACTGCAAGAGGGCATAGGCCAGGCTGAGGGACCCCCCCAAGTGCACAAATTTTTGTGCACCAGGCCTCTAGTGTTAAATAATAACGCACGTGGAATAGAGGGTCACAGAGAGGCAGTGGGCTCACAATGATGTGGGGGGACAGCCTGAACTCCAGGGGACTGGCCGTGCCCCAGACAGAGCGGGAGGAGCTCTGGTGTCGAGCTTGGCATGAAGTTACGGGAAAATAGCAGCAGGGACCAACTGCTCCAGCTCCAGCCCGAGGGCTGGACCCTGGCAGCCAGCTCGCGTGAGGGCAGGAAACGGGAGCTTCCGTGGACCGGAGAGGGGACTGACACAACCACGTGCTCTTGTATAAAAGACTCACAACGGCATGTGTGCGTACGCTAGTACAGATAGATACGATATGTTATGTAGGACGGTAATCGTATTTATAGCAAATAAGATTAAACATAGTTTAAGGAAGTCAGATGGAGAATTCCTTATAGATAAATTTCTAGGACTCTATTTCACACTCACGTTTGTGAAAGTTTTGATGTTCACACATTCTGAGATTTGTTTGCTCTTATTGTTAAACTTACCTTTGGTCTTAATTTCATTGTCTTCGGTTATATTTCTTTGTAAATGTATTCCTGTATTAAATATAAGATTTAATGCACACGAGCACACACACACACACACACACACACACACAGAAGACCTGTAACAGGACAGAGAGAAGGATGTCCCAGTGGGAAGGAAGGAAGTCCACAGGCACAGATCACCGTAATCAGAAGGGCAGGATGTGTGCCGGGAGAAACAAGCAGTAGCAACAGCACAGTAGTGTTGAGATGCGGCCCATCTTTCTCCTTGCCTGACCAGCCACATGGATAAAAACAATAATGTAGACCAGGAGTCGACAGACTAGGGCCTGTGGACCAACTCTGGCCCATTGTCTGCTTTTGTAAATAAAGTTTTATTGAATACAGCCACAGGGACGATTTGTTTACACATCGCCGGTGGCTGCTTTTGCACCTCAGTGGTGGAGTTGAGTTACAGCAGAATCCTTAAAGCCCTAAGCCTAGCTATTTACTGTCTGGCTTTTTATATAAAACATTGGCTGGCTCCTCTATAAAAGATACGAAAACGTGAATAAGATTGATCTAATAGAAAACATATCCACCTCTAATAGAAATATAAAACTTGATTAAGACTGTCTAATAGAATTTTATCCACCTCTGCACCCTGAAAATTGAGACTGCACCTTCTGTTCAGGTTTCTGGCAGCATTTTTAAAAAGTTAGCCATACGTGATGTTATAAGAATGTCAATAAATTCCAACACATAGGAATTCTTTAGCCATAATACGATTAAACTAGAAGGAAAGTTACAAACAAGGGAAGATGCACTGTTAGCAGATACTCCCTGTGAGTACGATCCAAGACTGACATGTCGTGACTGTCAGCCTGGGTCCCATCAGGAGACAGAGACCACACAGCGATGTAAACAGGAGGATTTTCATACAGAGAATGAGTAAGCTGTGCCAGGGGACTAACTGTGAGATGTTAAAGGGACTCCCTGGGAAACCGTTAGCTCAGGGAGAGTGCCCACGGAAGGATAAACTTGACAGGAGCCCCTCCCCAGGGTGCAGGCCAGACCTCACTGGAGAAGGCCTGCTGCAGCCCACAGGCTGTGGAGCCATTCGCTGGGGTGCTCAGGCCAGAGCGGGCCATGTCCCTGGACATGCAGGAAGTGACCCTTCAGGGTACAGCTGGATCCCAGCCAGTGGGCAGGTTCTCAGAGAGAAGCAGGTGCCGCTGCTAGTGGGGGGTTTGGGGTGCCCAGTGTTTGCACAGAGGGGACCACAGATACTGTGCAAGAGACAGGGAAGAGGGGTGCACGTGGGAAGCCTGGAGTGCACTGTACCCATTGGGGAGGGTGACAAGGCTGACCACAGGCCAGGCAGGTGAAGGTTGCCTAGGCCCATAGTTAGGTCACATCCCTACCAGATGCCATCACACCCACACTTGTGACCGACAGTGCAGAGCCCCTCCCTGCAGTGTATTATCCGAGGGTTTTCATACTTGGGCTCTGATGTATTGGCCGATGTCAGCCTGACGTGTGTGAGCTGGGCATGTACCTGCACACATATCCCCGGAGTCCTTAGGTTTGAGAATGGCCTGCAACAAGACCTTTGCAATATGTCTCCTCTGGAAAAGATTAGCACGTTTACAGCTGTGTATAAAGTGGGGAAAGGTAATATGCTATTGGCCAAAGATACATTTCACACTGGTGGTTAAAAATGAATAGGTTACCGAGGGCGCAGCTGGAATTTCATTCCCAGAGGGAAAAATAAACAGACTTTTCCTTTTCATCTGACTCAGATAATTTTGGAAGCTTTTTGCCTGAAGGCAGGTGAATGAACTTGTTAGCTTTTGAGGTTCTTTCCAGAAACCAAAGTAAACATACTTATCCTTAGGAGATGAAACCCGTCAGCCTATAATTTATGACCTGAATTTGTACCATACACCAGACGGATCACAGTGAAATGTAGGTATGACACAGTGATTCTCAGCCCCTTCTGAGCTGCTTTGAGAATTGGAAAATTCCAAACTCTCTTCTCAGAAAAATGCCTAGAATCACTTATATGCAAATTATGCACACAATTCACTATTTCAGGGGGCTCTTTGAACCCTCAGTTGGGAACTGTGGTAAAAGACATGGTGAATGAAGGATTTAACAAGTTGACCATGTCTCCTGAAGAAAAGCTAGAACAAGGTAATTGTTTCACCTAAATATTTTATTTCTTAAGAGGAGAAAAAGGGAAGCCAGGCTGTATATCCTCGATACATTTTGTTACAGATAGTTCCTGCAAGAAATTATGCTACAGCCTCCTGCTCCGTCAATTAAATAGGTTATTTACAAATTTGTGAGACTTTAAACAATGTTTTCTTTTTAAAAAACTTATCATGATTCACGTCTTATAAAGTATGCATATATATATACATATATATATATATATATACACACACACACACACACACATACATATATATATACACATACACACACACACATATATATATATATATTTTCTCCCACCATAATGGAATTAAACTTTAAATCAATAAAAGATATTTGGAAAATCCCAAAATATTTGGAAGTAAATAACACAGTACCAAATAATCATGGATCAAATAAAAAATAATTAAATTAGAAAGCATTCCTGAACTGAATAAAAATGCAGACACTACACATCAGAATTTGCTGGATGCTTGTAAAGCAGGACTTGGGGCAGGGAAACTTTTAGCCCTCAGTCACTCTTGTGTTCGGAAAGGAGAGAGGTCTCTGAGCTCAGCTTCTGCCTTCAGAGACTAGAAATAGGAGAGCAAATGGCTGTGAGGCTACGGTAGTCAGTAGTGAGGTGTCAGTGCAGAGACACTTCTGAACCTCACGGCTACGTACAGTATCTCGATGGCGGGACACTTACGCATGTGCAGTTTATGGCGTGCAGTTTATGCGTGTCAGCTATGCTTCAAGAAAACTTAAACAAGTCACCCGGGCGTCGCTCTATTGTTTTCCTTTCTTCCTGAGTCAGGTGCCCTGTAGTCATTGTGTTTGGTGGCTCTCTGTCTTCGTTTCGGGCTTCCTTCCTATCCAGGTGGCACAGTCACCTCGTTTCTCTCCCGAGTCCCCCGATGCAGACGCGTATCTGATGGCCAGGTGTCCATCGCACGGTGACAAGGGCTTTCAGCACAGACCGGGCCTGAGCCTGCAGGGGATGGGCCCGTGTTCTGTGGCTGTGTTCACAGCAGAGGAGCTCT